AAAATAATTTTAAATTATAATTCTAAATGAGTGAAGTAATGTCCACTTATTATGTCAAAATCTTAAAACGCATGTATTTGTCCGTGTGCAGTGTGTCTCAACCCTTATCTATAGTCTCCAGGAGTCAAATGCCATGACAAAAATTATGCAAAATGTCCATCTTCTCAACAAGAAAATAATTAATTAATATTTTTTTATAAAAAAATCTTTTTTCAAGAGATAATTTTATAGAAAACTATAAGCATCCAAGCAATGATATTTAATATTTTGTTTGTGGGGGCATGAAAGTAAGCATTATGCAAGTTGACATTTAATAAATATCGATTAGGTGACTCAGAATCCACGCTCTCCATCATCGTCAATCACGTGCAGTTCATTCATAATCCATTAATAAATCTTATACTATGCCCCCAAATATATCATTTTTGACTTTTTCCTTTGCTCATTAAGAATGTCACTCGCTCCGGTTCAATGCGGACCGGCCTGTGTTTCGTTAAATCTGATGCCATTTTTGTATGTTCCCTTTAGCCCGTCAGATCCCTGATATTTTCTTCCTGAAGTGGGGACAAAAACAGTTGATTTTCTTAAAAAAGAAAATTTGTTACCTAATTAATTTGATATAATCTAAAAATATAATAACACTTGGATTAAATAGATTATGAATTGTGATCTCAGGGCTTAAGATGTTTGATCTAATGGCATCAGGGCTTGGTGGGGTTTTGAAGGAGGTTGCGAGTTTAATTATGTTTTGTATTTAGGATCTGTTTAGTTTGTTAATTTGAGTTGAGATGTGATGTTATATGAGAATTTTTTATTATATTAAAAAAGTTAGATATAATTATTTGTAAGAATTTTTTATTGTAATAAAATTTAAATTTTAAACTCGAATCAAAGAAATTAACGGAACCTTAATAAAAAAAGAAAAAATTATGATCTCATGTGTATTTTTCATGTTTAGGCCAAGGTGTTCCACTACGGATCCATAAGCTTGATCGTGGAGCCATGCAGATCGGCGCACATTAAGGCGATGGAGGTGGCGAAGGAAGCTGGAGCTCTCCTCTCATATGACCCAAACCTCCGACTTCCGCTTTGGCCCTCACCTAAGGAGGCGCGTGAGCAGATTCTCAGCATATGGGACAAGGCTGAGGTGATCAAGGTTAGTGACGTTGAGCTGGAGTTCCTCACCGGCAGCGACAAGATCGACGATGAATCCGCATTGTCGCTCTGGCACCCAAATCTCAAGCTCCTCCTCGTCACCCTCGGCGAGCACGGCTGCAGATACTACACCAAGGTAAGCACTAGGAGCAGTTAGTATTAAAGCTATAACCATTTAAACTTTTAAAATGAATTGATAAATTAACGTAGTATTAGAATGGGAGATCTTGAATTTAAACTCATTGTAATTG